TGCTCTCTCCACTCTTCTGTGTTACCTGGAGGCAAGTCAGCGGTTTGGGAAAATAAACAAGGATAGAAGAGTTGTAGGGAAGAGGCTGGGAGAAGTTTGGTGAAAGCGTTGAGCCCCAGATGTGGGGAATGTCACTTCTCCAGAGGAGCGAGGGGTGTGCAGTGGGTAAGGATATAGTTGGCTGATTTGATTATTTTTTTCAGTCCCGGCTGAGATTTTAAAGGTGGACACAAATTTTTGGGACTGTTTCCATTTCTGTAGCTGGGACCACAGTTGAAGTGATTATCCGTGACACTGACAATTGGAAATCTGAAACTGTTAAGGAAGGGTTTTCCTGTATGTACAGCTTTAGTATGCACATTTTATATTAAAAAACATGAGAGGAGAGTCAGCATATCTACAAATGTGGAAGATGCAGAATAGCAAGTACTATGAAGAAATTACCTTTCACATGAATAATATTTTATATATTTGCTAAAGCAGGGTTGAATGAGAGCTAGAATGTGGAGAGAAATCTTTGGGAGAAAGTATCTAACCAACCCCAAAGCTGCAGTTTCAACCACATTTGTTTCGCTGCTGACTGGGTGCTAGGGAATTCCAGGATTTCCATCAGAACTCCCAAGTGCAATAAAGGGCATTTGGGTCAGCTTGTTTGGCTCAAATACTAAATTAGGCTTCCATCTTAGTTCGTAAAAGGCCAAATTACTGAAAATTTACTTTTTTCCTAGCATCTGGCATTTGTGCTTTTAACATGGTAGATTCCCACTATGTCTTATCAATATAACAAATCAGTGATATGAGCAAGTTATGTTTTTCACTTTGTTAATAACTTCACTTTCAAATAGAGGTATGCATGGTAGGTATATCTTGGAGCAAAATAATATCCTTATGAGTTTTACATGTTGAAATTCTATCAGCTGCCTGATGTCAAATGTGCAGTAATAAAAGATGATTAAGCTGTTAGTTTTATATAAAAACAGTGATAAAATTTAAAATAATTGAGAGGGGAAACAGATTGGCTGTTACTAAACTATTAAGAGTGCTTTAACTGGGCAACATTAAAAAGAATAGTGCATACATTTATATTTATGTTTATAGAAATTTAAAGAATACAAGGCAGAATAGGAGGTAGATGATATAATTTTAAACTGTGAACTGATTTGGGATATTAGCATTCATAAATGTAAACAAAATAAAAGAATTGCATTTAAATTCTATTTATTTAGTTTCACATAGGGCTCAAGTCTTTCAATAAAAAATGATTTTCTCACATTTGTAAGGAAAAAAAAAAGCAGGTCATCTGTGCCTGAAGCAGAAAAATCTTCAAAATTATTATAACATCCATGAAAATCATCTCTGATCCAGACTGAGAATATAAACAAGAAACTTTTAGATTTTATTTGGCCGGGTAATTATGATGATAACCAAACATTTTCAAGAAAATCGATTAGCTGCAAGTGTAGGGATCCGGTGGTGATTTTTGAAATGTGCATTTGGCTGTTCAGCCTTCTCAAGGCCAAGGCCAAGGCTGAAGCTGACGGGGAATTTGGGGGAAGTTTGTGGCTGAAATGGAACAACTTTGCATCTCCAAATTTGCAGAATATAAGGGCTGCCTCATATCCCCAGAGTTAATAAAGGCAAGTCATATGATGAGTATGTGTGCCTGCCATTTAGAATGGCCTAGGACCATTCCAAAGCCAGGGGACCATCAGTGGATCTTTCATCCAGCTTGTAAGCATGTTAGTTAAGGTCACTTGTGGGAGAGAGCACAGCCAGGTCCAGGCATACAGAGGCAAAAACTCAACACACGTTGGAGCAGAGGTTACACTACTGCCAGAAAGGAATTATCCTGGAAAAAATCAGGATCTTAGCTTCCACAATGTGATTTACCATATTCCTAACGTAAATAAATATATTACCATGTTTTCTAACGTAAATAAACATTTTCTCAAGTTTTTTTCCTTTGCTAGGTCTAATAGCCAGAATTCAGGTTGTCAAAATCTAATCAGTCAGTTAGGTTGGAGATTCTTGCTCCCGTGATCCCATTGAATCACTTGTGTAAGCTGCTCAAGTAAACTCTAAAGTTTGGTATTCCCTGCTGTTATAGAATGCTCTAATCCCAGACAGTTTGATGAATACAACAGGAAAAGAAAGCTGGGTGGTGGTGATTGGGATATCCACAGGACATCATGGGGTATCCATAGGTAGCATGCAAGGGGGAAACTGTTTGACAGCAGACTGTGTGGTGTTTTCATTTGCAAATAGTCAGGGGTGGGGGGATCCAAGTTTGAAGCCATTGGACAAAGATAAAGTAAAAACAATTATTCACTCAATTATATTTATTCCATCCTTATGTGCAATGGGTGTAATAGGCCTAGGTTTATTTAACCTACATTACTAAACCTGCATACCTAACACATATACTTATGTGCTATCTAAGGGTACAGTGGAGGGTGCAGACCCTGAAGGAGTGTTTGTGAGCGTGGGCCCAGCTGTTTTGCAAAGACATCTGAAGCCCTGGCAGAGCAGTTTGGAATTAAAACAGGAGAGCGTGGGCCCAGCTGTTTTGCAAAGGACATCTGAAGCCCTGGCAGAGCAGTTTGGAATTAAAAGGTTTGACTAATGGGGTAAATTCAATCTCCTTAGCATGATTTATAACACTTGATCTAGCTTTTGCTTAACAATTTAGCCTCAACTATTTCCATGCCTGTTTTCCAAATGAACATTCTGGCTATAACGAACTATTTGCTCTTTTATAACCAGGCCAAATTCTTTCTTGCTGCTGGAACTGTGAACCTGATCTTGCCTGTTTTGAATAGATCTGTCCTCTCCCTTCCCTCCATTATGGATACTTAATTCCTAGCTCACTCCTACTTAGTCATGCTTTCTAGGTCAGACGTCACTTCTCTTTTGAAGTTGTTCCCAATTCCCAGGCCTCTTTAATTAGTCCACCCCATGTTCTCCCGTAGAACTGTGTACTTACCATATAAAACACACTGCATTATAATTTCTGGTTTACTTTCTGTATTGCCCACAACACTGTAGCTCATTAAGGACAGGAATTCTGTAATGTTAGCAGTATTTCTCCAGACCTCAGTGCCGTGACTGAGACATGGCAGATACTTTAAAATGTTTGCGGAATGAGTTGGTGGTTGACAATATCTGAGAGAAACTATTTTCAATGAATCAAGTGGTGGGTTGAGAAATGTATTGTCCTGAGTGATTCTCAGCTAACGAGGTAAAGTTATTTATTTGGCCAAACCTGGAAGCCATGAAGTACTGTTTCAGATCCATTAGCACTTTAGTCAATTGCATTTTCAAAATATGGTTGCACTAACATACGTGCCATCCCATGTACTCTTCAGAGAATATGACATTGACAATATTTTCCCCCATTAAAATTAGATGCATGTTTTCAACTGCCTTGACCTACAGATATACCAGAAGTGATGCTGTTTTTCAGTTCTAAGTTATAATTAGGCAGTGCGATTCCACCTCTCTCTCTTTGTCTCTCCCTCTCAGCCTGTCCACTTTTGTAACATTGCTGCCATGTTGTGTGGAAGACCAGGCTACATGGTGAGGCCATGTCTATGTATCCCCAAACCAAGGGCCCTAGCACAGGTCTCAGCTAACAGTCAAATGAAATGCCAGACTTGTGAGTGAACACGTCTTTAAATGATTCCAGGTGCTGGCCTTTAAATCTTTCAGCTGAGGCCCCAGACATAATGGATTAGAGACAAGCTGCCCCATGGTCTGTATGAATTACTGATGCACAGAAATTGTGACTACTGTCATTTAACCCACAATATTTTGGGGTGATTATTATTATTCAGCAGATAGCAATACAGCAGCAGCGTAGTAGTCCCAACTCTCAGGATTGCTGGCTTTTCTCACTGTAGTCAGAATATGTTTCTTTTATATACTAGTATATACAAGAGGCCCAGTGCACGGATTCATGCACCAGTGGGGTCCCTTGACCTTGCGTTCTGTATGAATTACTGATGCAAAGAAATTGTGACTACTGTCATTTAACCCACAACATTTTGGGGTGATTATTATTATTCAGCAGATAGCAATACAACAGCAGCGTAGTTGTCCCAAATCTCAGGATTGCTGGCTTTTCTCACTGTAGTAAGAATATGCTTCTTTTATATACTAGTATATACTAGAGGCCCAATGCATGGATTCATGCACCAGTGGGGTCCCTTGACCTGGCCTGTGGGGATTGGGCTGAAACTGGATCTCTGACATGCCCTGAGGGGTCCCAGATTGTGAGAGGGCCTCTAGTATGCATATAAGATCTTTGGTTAATCTCTTCCACACTCCCCCCTACCCGCTTAACTCTGAGATTCATCTGTCTGTTCCATGTTTCCATGCCTGTGGTTTCTGCTCTACTGTTGAGTGTCAGTGCGAGTCATAGCTACTGGCCACTTAGGCTTTTATATATATACTAGAGGGTGGGCTGAAACTGGATCTCTGACATGCCCTGAGGGGTCCCAGATTGTGAGAGGGCCTCTAGTATGCATATAAGATCTTTGGTTAATCTCTTCCACACTCCCCCGCTTAACTCTGAGATTCATCTGTCTGTTCCATGTTTCCATGCCTGTGGTTTCTGCTCTACTGTTGAGTGTCAGTGCGAGTCATAGCTACTGGCCACTTAGGCTTTTATATATATACTAGAGGGCTGGTGCATGAATTCGTGCTTGGGTGGGGTCCCTAGGCCTGGCCGGTGATCAGGGATGATCAGGGCTGGGCCAATCGGGGCCTGCCAGCCAGGGGCAAAACAGGGGGAGGGACCGCGGGCCAAAGGCCCCAGGCTGGGTCGGGAGAGGAGGCGACTATCATCGGGCCAGGCGTGAAAGGAACAGACTCCGGACGTGATGCCACTGGCCAGCCATGGGAGGTTGGCTGTGGGAGTGCACTGACCACCAGGGGACAGCTCCTGAGTTGAGCGTCTGCCCCCTGATGGTCAGTGCATGTCATAGTGACCAGTCGTTCAGGTGATTTGGTTGTAACAGTTGCTGAGGCTTTTTTATATATATACTAGAGGCCCAGTGCACAAAATTCGTGCACAGAGAGGGGATTGTCCCTCAACACAGCCTGCACCCTCTCCAACCTGGGACCCCTGCGGGATTGGACCTAAACCGGCAGTCAGACATCCCTCTCACAATCCGGGACCGCTGGCTCCTAACCGCTCACCTGCCTGACTGCCTGCTTGATCCTAACCACTTCTGCCTGCCAACCTGATTGCCCCCTAACCGCTCCCCTGCCAGCCTGATTGTCCCCAACTGCCTTCCTCTGCTGACTTGATCCCACTAAGTGCTCTCCCCTGCTGGCCTGATCCCCCAAACTGCTCTCCCCTGCCAGCCTGATCACCCATAATTGCCTCTGCCTTGGCCCCACCACCATGGCTTTGTCCGGAAGGACGTCTGGAAGGTCGCCTGGAAGATGTCCGGTCTAATTAGCTTATTACCCTTTTATTAGTATACTAGAGGCCCAGTGCATGAATTCATGCATGGGTGGGGTCCGGCTGGCCTGTTCCGATTGGGGCCAACTGGGGAGGGGCCATGGGCCATCAGCCAGTGGACCCCACCCGCGATCGGGGTGGAAGGGGCCAATCAGGGCCACAGTTCACGTCAAAGCTACCGGTTGTTCTGGTCATTCGGCGTTCTGGTCACTTGGCTTTTATATATATACTAGAGGCCCGGTGCACAAAAATTTGTGCACTGGCAGGGAGGGGTGTCCCTCAGCCCCACTTGTGCCCTCTCACAGTCTGGGACCCCTCAGGAGATAACGACCTGCTGGCTTAGGCCCGCTCCCGGGTGGCAGAGGGCAGGCCCAATCCCTAGGTGCAGCCCCTGGTCGGGCTCAGAGCAGGGCTGATTGGGGAGTTGGGGCGCTGCCCCCTGTCATGCACAGAGCAGGGCGGATCAGGAGGTTGCGATGCCACCCACAGTCACGCTCAGGGTAGGGCCGATTGGGGGGTTGGGG